AGGGGCCCACATTTTACAAAATTGTTTAGAAGTATCATGAATTAGAGCTGTCAATCTGTCTATTTCCACCACCTCCCTGGTTTTGCGGAAAACAGCTGCCATATCTGGCACCTGTACATCTCCCTACTTTTCTGTGATATCCCTTTTTGTGGAAATGACTGTCTTAGCTACCATTTTATTTAATGCACATATAAGAGTGTTTAGATAAAACCATATGCAAGGTTCAACTATGATATTAGTTTGGAGCAGACTGGATTCACTACTTGATTCCATAACTGGCTGATTTTGAGAGCTATGCCACCACAAGTGAATGTAGATACCCTGTTTTTCCAAGATGTATCTATAGTATGTTTGTGTATTTTGAAAAGTTTCACTGGGGTTATGTACCATCGAAACAAAGTTGTGTATGCCTGATCCATTTGGTTCACACAAATTGTTACTGTAGAGGTGGCTTCCCATATTTCCGACCAATCTGATGCTTCAGCTGGTGGTCCTATATCCCTCTCCCAAGCCAATATATAGAAGAGTGAGAGAGAGGAGTTATGTGAAACTATAGTTCAGCAAAATATGGCCTTGTTGTATAGGAGCTTGTAAACATTGCATTTTTTATATGTTGTCTTTGTGCCAGTGTTTATGATAGATGGAGAGTTGCAAATTTGTATATATCTAAAAAACAAAAAACAAAATTAGTGAATTAGACTTTTTGGGGTAAGTCTGTGTATTACATCACTTGGCAATGGTGAAAGAATTGATCACATTTATCTAAATCATGGTCTTCAAATTTTGCACAATTTTGAGAAATCATTCCAGATGGAAACATTTTTATTTCTCAAGATAGGCGTGAGTGGTGAGGTTGAATTTATTAAGGGAAATTTCTTGTTAATTTTATCCCAAACACATAGTTTGTTATCCAATAAATGTGTGTTTGGTTGTAACGTGGCGCCTAGCATGTTTAGGAAGTCTCCTCGGTGATTACACAGGAACACCTGAAAGCCGACCGGCCATCCTGCCCAATTCTCTGGAACTGTTTTGGGGTCAACAATAGCTTTTGTTCTACCGAACCGATCTGAGCGCTTTTTGGATATGTTGTGTACTCAAATCGGGGCTATCCGGGAATATAAATATTTTGTGGGGTTCCTGTATTTTTGAAATATTGTAATTGTTAGCCTAATTTGAGCTCAATTATCTCCCAAACACAAAAGCTCTTGGAAAGGAAAATCCTTGTAACCCTTGTAACTTAGAAACCATATGCTAGGGGCAAAGTATAAAAGCCATCTGTGGCAGGAATAAAGTCCATTGTACTGTATGTCGTCCAGTTGCTGGGGAGGAGGTTGGCTATTTACTTGGTATTTTCTTGTTCTTTTTGGTGAACCAGTGAAAGAAAGTCCCTGCTACATTTGTTGGCAGCATAGGGATCCAGAGCTCACTGTAGAACAAGAGTCACAGTGCATGAATAGCAGTACCAGATGGACCGTGGATGGAGCTTGACTACACCATCCTGAAATGGTCCATGCTAAAGGAGCTCCTGTGTCACATGTTCATCCTCACCTCGTGGTGTCTGTGATGGTAACTGCCTTCCTGGCATTGATGGAGGTGCCACTCAGCGGCCCTGCGCTGGTGTATCTGGCTCCTGCGGCATATTGATGGATGCCTGCCTTTGTGGATCCACGTGATTTTATAGCCCCACGTCGTGGTTTCTCTTAGATGGTTATGCGAGAGTGCGTTCCTGATCGTGTGTTTCTGGTTATTGACTTTTGCTTTGTTTTGATTTCCCTGACTTCTGGTATCCTTGATTATTGGCTTTCCCTTATCGCTGTGTCCCATTCTGTGTCCCTGACCTCGGCTAGTATATTGACTATTCTTAGGTACGTTAAGTCCAGCTATTCTAAGGTCCGGTTAGACGTTACCCTTAGTCCTAGGTGTGACACATTTCTGCGTGCTGGATCAACTATAATCCTGACATCCTTGAGGCAAGAGGTATAGTGACAAGCAACAAAAAGAAGGCCACCCTCATTGCCGAACTGATGGCGACATACCGAACAGAAGGCGTTTCGGATCAGCGCAAAAAAGAGAAACCAACGAATTTCAAAGAGAACTACAACTTTGTTTATCTTTTTATAGCGAAAACCCATCTACGGAAATTATTGCCTGAACCATGTCAGAAGCCCAGGAGTTCGTGCTAAAATGAAACGAAAGACAAACTTCCAAAAGGACCCAGGCAGTGACAATAGTACAAGAGAGTAAGCCAAAAATATCCCATGGCGCTTTTAAAAACGTTGTGGAGGCGGAGGAGGATATTGATGCTTTCCTCCAAGACTTTGAAAGACAATGGACCTTACATAGGATCAATCTTGAAGACTGGGTTCCGCTTCTGGCTAGCAGACTGTCGGGGAGAGCAGCCAAAGCCTACCGAACAGTCCCAGATGAGGAAATTCGGGACTATGTTCGGGTCAAATCTGTTATATTAGTACGGTATGCCATCACTCCGGAGGCATACCGCAGGTGGCTTAGAGAGTTGAGGAAAAGTGATAAAGACTCTCATACTTCGTGGCCGGTTGGTCAAATTTGTATATATCTAGAAAAAAACAAAATTAGTGAATGAGACTTTTTGGGGTAAGTCTGTGTATTACATCACTTGGCAATGGTGAAAGAATTGATCAAATTTATCTAAATCGTTGTCTTCAAATTTTGCAAAATTCTGAGGAATCATTCCAGATGGAAAAATTTTTATTTCTCAAGATAGGCATGAGTGGTGAGAATTTATTAAGGGAAACTTTCTTGACAATTTTATCCCAAACTCATCCGCCCGCCGGGGGGGTCTATCAGGCCACCTCTGGGGCCCCCCCCCATGACAGGTGAAACTCAGGGGGCATTTGGGGGCAGAAATTTTTGCCGCGCCCTGAGTGACTGCAGGAGCAATGGGAACAGAGTTCCTGCTGTAAGAAAAGTGCAGGAACGCCGTTCCCACACGTTCCTGCAGGACTCAAGCCCTGCCCCACCCCTATATACCCATCATGTGTCTCCATTTCTCACCATGTCCCTTATGTATGTCTTCAAGCCTCCACAAAGAAGGATTAAGATTTCACGGGGTTTTAGGAGGTTACCAGTTTGGGCTTCCCATTTACTCTTCATATGTACAGATGATTAATGGGGCCAAGAATATGGGCAGCTGCTTTTTACCTCTGGGCCCTGGGCAGCTGCTTTTGGTCACCTTATAGTTATTCCTGCTATGTCCCTCATATGTCGCTAATCAATCCTTTGCTGCAGAGGGATTTAGATAGACTAGTGGACTGGGCACTCAAATAGCAGATGACATTTAATGTAAAAAAAATGCAAAGTTATGCACTTCAGCGTAATGAATGCACAAGCATTGAATAAGTAGTTTTATCAGAATCTGTATATATGTTTAAACAGCAACTAGATGCATACTTGCAAAAACATAATATTCAATTATATAATTTTTCAACTGTAAGGTAATAGTGTGGCATGTACATACCTCCTGCCGCGCAGCCCTCCACCTGCCATGCAGTCTGACCGCTTCACGGGGCCGAGCAGCATAGTGTAGGGTACTCACCTCCCTCAAGCACCGTGGTCCAGCCAATCCACCCGACATGACTTCCTTATATAGGGTGTAGGCGTGATGTCACGCTTGTTTTTAAAGTGACCACATCATCATTGCAATCCTAATCTATTTTGAGTTGCAATGATGACGTGGACCTATCAATACACAGGTAAACCTATTTAAGGCTTGCTTTGGCCCATATTCTTTGCCCTATCGTGGTTTCTGAGTAGATCCTCGCTTTGTGCTCCTTGTGATTTCCCTTGGATTTTCTGTGTTTGACCTCAGCTTCGTATTTGACTTTGTGATTTCTGTTGTCCTGACCCGACTTCGTATTTGACCTGTGATTTTCTGGTATCCTGACCTCGGCTTCGTATTTGACTTGTGATTTCTGGTATCCTGACCCGGCTTCGTAATGACCTTGTAATTTCTGGTATCCTGACCTCGGCTTCATTTTTGACTTGTATTTTCTGGTATCCTAACCCGGCTTTGTCTTGACTTTGTGTATTTCTGTATCCTTGACCTTGATTCTCGCTATATTAATACGTTAAGTCCAGCCACTCTAAGGCTCGGTAATACACCTTTTTTTTAATTTTTTATATTCTTTATTTTTGTTGTGCATACTTTAACAAGGTAGCTTGCAGTGCCACAACGGCAAAGGCAGTCACAATAACACCCACAATATATATCATAGGTATGGCATTGAGAGATTTTAGCACAATTTTTATATAGAAGGAGAGATACTTTAATGTATAGACAGAAGAAAAAAAAGGCATAGCATATGCATTAAAAATCTATTTGGGGGCGGGGCCGGACCGCCGAGCTGGACGGTCGCAAGGGTGATCAGCTCCGGCGAATCCCTCTACTTTAAGCCTATAAACCTACGAATTTCAGCCTGAAAGCTGACCGACAGCTCTGGTCCTTGGCCCAAAGGAGGCACTGTATCCAGGGAGAGGCTGGCTCCTTGAACTTCAGTCCCCTGGAGGAGGAATCTTTGAAACCCCAGATGGGGCCTACTCCGGCGGTGAGTGGGGCGGACGGCCACTGCCCCACTATCCCGCCCAACGATGCCTGACCTGAAGGCCCGGAGCAGAGTGGATCTGGCCCAGTTCCCCCCCCCCCTCTGGACCGGGGGGTTTATCCCGGTCCTTGCCCTGGGACCCCAACCGCTGCAGTACAATCAGGGCCCAAGAACAAGACCACCCTGATCAGTGACCCCGGCACCTCGCCTAAAATGGCGGATGCCATGCGCGCAGAAGACAGAGAAAAGGAATACTCTTCCCTCACGCTACAGCCTGACAGCACAGACCTTGGACAGAAACTCACTTGCAATGCCTAAACAGGCCAGAAGCCGGCAAAGGGAGCACAACGAGCCAACACTCATCCCACGGAACAGGCAAGCGACTGAGAAACCCTACCTTTCAGCCGACTGGTCTTCACTGTAACGAGCCGCACACCTCTGCCGCAAAGCCGGACATCCTTCCCCAGCATGCCATGAAAGAGCCGCGGTGAACACCTGACAGCCGGCATGCAGCAGTGGCTGGAGAGGTGCACGGAGGACACCCCCAAGTAGAGACTCACATGGATGTCCTGCCTGAGTGTCCCGCCGAACTACACCTGCATACTATGGGACTACACAGGCAAGATCCAGCACCCATGATGAACTGACCACAGGCCCCCGAGGTGACCATGTAACTTCCCACTGCAAAGTAGCAGCTCTGTCCTTAAATCTTTTACTCCCACTAGCCACTTGACAGGATGGAATGGTGGCCTGGTGCCATTAGTATTAAATCATAATGTGGCTGCTAAAAGTTAGACACCTGCAGGATAGTGTGCCCTTAGTTTAACTCAGCTAGACCGGTGAGCCTCGGTTAGCTACACCATGCTAAATTGTTTTAAAGTATTCTATTCTGTGAAAAGCGCCCCACTACTCTCTGCAACAGGGCCTGGTCTCCCAGTGGCAATAACAGTTTGTACCTTTCTAAGGTTTCACTAGCCTATTATAATAACCTGTAACAACGCAAGCTCCTAGCAAACCATGTCTTAGACCCGATCTTAGTGATGCTAAACGGTTGGCCATCTCAACAAGGTATAAAATGCATGTCTGTATACGCTTGCGCTGCGACTAATTCTTGTTTTAAGTTTTAAACCAAAAAATGTATGCAGCTACTCATGACATACTGAGTTTATACTTGAAGCCTGTAACCATTCATAATGCAACTTAAATCTATGTCAATGTTACGCAATGTTTGTTTTCACTGCACTCCAAAAATAAAGAATATATAAAAATCTATATGTCACTCTCTTACGACCCGCATACGCTAACCCACGGGTCCAGATGCAAGTGCTGCTGCCGGGGATCGCTGCATACCAGTTTGATTTCATGTGCTGATAAATGCTTTTTGCCAACCATTGCATACCTTACTTACGCTTGTTTATATTAGCCTTCCTTTAGTTAAGCATAGAGCGCTAGATGTTTAATCTTATCACGGAAGAATCACACAGCTAATGATATCGCATAAGCATGAATAGACCTTAAGATTAATGATATTATATCTGTTAAACTCAAAAACACAAAAGATAGAATGTCACTCAGATTTAATGCCTAGTCTGCCACAACTAACTCCTGTTACATATTGCTAGGTTGTGCCCTATCTTCCTCTGGAAAATAATATATGAAGGTAAACTAGAACAGGCAAATTAACGTAGATAGATAATTAAGTGGCCATGTTGTTTTTACGCCGTAAAGGAGTTTAAGCATGCATGGGATAGGCATAAGGCTATCCTAACCATAAGATAAGGCTAGGGACTAATGAAAGTTTTTAGAAAATTGGGCAGACTAGATGGGCCGAATGGTTCTTATCTGCCGTCACATTCTATGTCTATGTTTCTATGTTTACGTGACGATAACTTCCAAGCAACTTAATGTATAACTGTGCCCATGCCTTGCTAAACTAGACATCTACTGCTAAATGGTGATTTTTGTATTGAACTGAGTGCTCAAGACCTAGCCTTTAAGCCACGTGAAGCCTAAGAGTACTGATTTGTCTATATAGCTACCGCTATATATATATGCACGACCTGTACTGTCCACAGCCTAGGTCTTCTGGTAAGCAACATAGATGTACTCCTAGATATGCAACATCATTATACAAAACATAATTCTGAACTAGCTACTCTCACTAGTATTGCATTATGCCTGTTATTAACCTCTTGTGGCTTAAAGTATGATTAACTAAGCATGTTTATATAAAAAATTGTGCCTGATATATATATTTCCCGCATGTAAAGCAGAGGAAAGGCCTGAGGACTGCTTTTGGGGCACCTCAAGCCTGCCTGTATCATTTTCTTTTTAAAAAAATCTATATGTCAGGAAAGGTGGTTGAAAGTTGGAACAACAAGCAATGTCTAAGCCTGTCACATATTGCTAGGTTGTGCCCTATCTTCCTCTGGAAAATAATATATGAAGGTAAACTAGAACAGGCAAATTAACGTAGATAGATAATTAAGTGGCCATGTTGTTTTTACGCCGTAAAGTCGTGGTGTGCTCTGCTACTGAATTGACCATTGAAATAGAGGTGGTGGGGGGATAAGGTTAGTAACTTCGGTGCCTGCTTCTGGTGATGCTTGGTGCGCCATTGCTATAATAAAAGACATTGTCAAATTAATGTAAAATATAGGGAGTGCGAGAGACAGGAAATCATAGAAAATAAAACCTTGAATTAAATACAGTCCCGATCAATGTTGGTGTGCTGGACCCACGGAATGAAATAGAGCCTCATTTCGCAGGTGCGGCAGATGCGTCAGAATGGAACTGTTGATGAACAAATGGAGTATCTGTCGCTGGATTTCATCTGTGTGTGGTCTTGGGAGTTCCCCGCAGTCCACGGGTTTGCAGCGAGTCTCGCGGTAGGCCCAGCATTTCAAGCAACACGGCCGTGCTGTCGAGATCTGGAGCCATGTGTGAGGTGTCCGTATGAAGGACCTGTAGGGTTCAGTAAGGGCGCCACCGGTACAGAATGCTACTTTTCCAGCAGAGAGAGGTGAAAGGTCTCATGAATCTCCGCCACAGCAATGTTCCACCGGACAGGTCAGCGTAAAAGGACAGTTCCATATATTCAAATTTGTAAGGTGATGTCCTCTGTAAAGCTGCCTGTACTGCCGCTTTAGCTCTGTGGGTTTTGAATTGGATGACCACGTCTCTGGGCCTCTCATGGTTTTGGGATCCTAAAGATGTCATTGAAACTGACGTTCTTGGTCTGCTTTGGCAGCAGGAGGGCTGTTATCAATCGGAAGCTCCACCGCCGGAACTTCTTCGGGTATACCTCTTATTTTAAAGTTATTGCCGCATCTCGAGTCCTGTAAGGTGGTAAAGCGTTGCTTGAACACCGTTTGTTGCTGTTTGAGTGCCTAAATCTCATGTTCAAGGGATGCTATTTTCCCTGCTTGGGTCTCGGTGGAGGCCTCCACTGCACCTAGCCTTCCCACCAGGCTTGTGAATTTGGATGGTTTTCTGCAGAGCTTCTAGCATTTCCTTCATGGTTGCAGTAGTCACTGGTACAGATTCGACCCCTCGGGGGACCGGTTGGTGGTGAGTTGAAGTTGGCGGCTCGGGGGCCTCCCAGGCACAGCAGTAGCTCCTCTGAAGACTCAGAGTATGTATCCAAGTCGGCGGTCATCTTGGGCCCATAAGCACCTTGTGCATGGCGGAGCATGACTCCAATATTCATCCCCGCTCTGGGTTTGTTGGGTTTCTATTAAGAGTACAATTCAAATTTTATTGAACAATCCTCCTAATGAAAACAGTATTTTTTTTAAACATGAAAAACTTACAATGCACTGTTCCAAATTATTACGCACAGTAAGTTTCAAAACACTTTATAAGATGTAAAGAACAGAAAATTGTGTTTGCAGCATATTTACTGAAATCAAAAGCTATTTCAATCAAACTTATAACAACATTTTAACTTTTTAAACATTTTAACAGGTCACATTACATTTTAACATAGGACCCCTTATTTGATCGCAGCTTCCCATGCATCCATTGAACTTGTGAGTTTTTGGACAGCTTTTGCTTGAATTTGTTTTCAAGACCCCTTTAGGGTCCCCCGAGGGTGTAAAGATGACCTCTGCAAAGTATGTGGAGTTTCTGACTGACCACTTTCTTCCCTGGTACACCTTCATGCATGACAATGCACCATCTCATAGTTTGTTATCCAATAAATGTGTGTTTGGTTGTAATGTGGGGCCTAGCATATTTAGGAAGTCTCCTCTGTGTTTACACAGGAACCCCTGAAAGCTGACTGGCCATCCTGCCCAATTCTCTGGAACTGTTTTGGGGTCGACAATAGCTTTTGTTCTACCGAACCGATCTGAGCGCTTTTTGGCTATGTTGTGCGCTCACATGAGGGCTATTCAAAAATATGTGGGGTTCCTGTATTGTTTTATGCATTTTTTTAGGTATTGTAAAATATTTATGGAAGTTTCTGTGTTTGAGAGATAATGGAGTTATCCTAATTTTAACTCAATTATCTCCCAAACAGAAAGGCTCTTGGGAAGGAAAACCCTTGTAATTTTGACAATGTATAAAAGCTGTGTGTGGCAGGAATAAAGCCAGTTGTACTCCCAGAGCTGTGTGTCGTCCAGTTGCTGGGAAGGATGTGGGCTATTTACTTGGTATTTCCTTGTTCCTGATTCTACTCTTGCTGATCCAGTGGAGGAAAGTCCCTGCCAGGACTAGGGCTCCTCTACAATAAATAAATTTAGGAAATGTGTTAATTTTTATCAAAGCCAATCGCCCGAACCACTAAATTGACAATTTGTGCCAACATTCTAAATCTTGTTCAACGTTACGAATTAGAGATGTATAGTTTAGTTGGTATGCTTGTGTGAGATCTGCCAGGAGGTGAACATCCAAGTATTGTAGGCTGGAGTCCATAAAACAAAATGGATATTGAGAGGGGGGATTACTTTGAAGGCGGTCAGATGTTTCAATGCAAAGAGCTTCTGATATCGATCTTAGATCCAGATAGTTGTGCATAGGATCCTATTACTTTTAGAAAATGAGGGAAGGATGGGTCTGTTAACATTGTTTTATATATCTGGCCTCGAATTGTGAGACCAGTAATAGTTGGGTTGTCCCAAGTCAATTGTAACAATGGTTCCAAGGAGAGGGAAAATAAAAGAGGGAATAAAGAGCAACTTTGTCGTGTACCATTATATAGTAAAAGATGGTGGGTCCATGTGAGGGATTAGTAAATTAGTCATTGAATTGGATATACTAGAAAGGACTTGTAAAAATTGATTATAAAAAATAAATTTGCTCAGGGTTGCAAAAAGAAAAGGCCAAAGAAGTCTATCAAAAGCCTTTTCTGCACCCAATGATAGTAAAAGTGTAGGGATGTGACAATGAGTAGCATACCATATAAGATCAAATGTTTCACAGGTGTTCTCACACATTTGATGGGTCAGGGTGAATTTTTCTTAATTGTTGTCGATACGTTTGGGTAAAAATGGTTGTAATCTATTGGCTAATATTTTGGCAAATAATGTAATATTCACTTTTAGAAAAGATATAGGTCTGTAATGTTCTGGTTTTAAGTGAGATTTATTAGGTTTAGGGAGTAGGCATTTGTTATCCTGTAGCATGTCTGTTGGTAATTGGTTGCCATATAAAATTAAAATAAAACATTTTCATGTTGGGAAAAAGGTTTTCTAATATATGCCAGAAAAAAAGGTGGGTCCAGGACTTTTATTGAGTTTGAATGCTTTAATAGCTTCCATGATTTCTTCCTAAGGGATTTCCTCCACTTAAGAAGCAGCTGTTTCCCCCTGTGATGAGGGGAGAGTAATATTGTTCAGGAAATCAGTGATAGTTTGTTGAAATAGTTCTGAGTCTGTAAGTTGTGGGAAATGATCGTACAATTTCTGAAAGTATGCATGAAATACATGCATACATGTATGTTGGAAACATTTCAGATCTCACATCAGATCGAGTGTGGGGGTGAAGAGGTTCCTGCATTGGACCCACTTTCTTACGGATTTGTGTAGGTGAAAACACAGCATTAAAATCACTCCAGTGATTATAGGGTCACTGACTACTTGAGATACATTTGGTGGACAAGATTTGATCAAAAGAATTGCAGCTCCACTAACCTTGCCTGTCTGTGAATTGCCTAAAAATTTCCATTTGTGGAAGTGTCAACTTAACAGAGTGACATTTCTGGCATTAGTAAAATGCTTTAACTGCAGGAATAATACATCCGCCTTGGTGCAATTCTGCTCAGCGAAGAAGTTAATGATGTTTAACTGGATTACTCTGATTTTTGCAGTTTGTGGAGGCACATGTCAAATCAGACAGCATTAAAATGATACCAGGGAGGTGACAGAGGTAGCATGAAAGAAGCTAAGAGCAGAGCAAAACAAGAATAAGAGGAGTTTTGAGTACATATATAGATGGAAAGTATATGACTTAAAAGAAGATTAAATATCATGAACTGTAGTGTCAGGGATGTCTGGTCTTAGTTGTCATGCCAGCTGGTTGCAGAGGGAGGGGGGATACAGAGAAAGGATTTTTTTTCCCCCATATAAGTAACTTAAATGGAGGATTAAATTGGGAAAAACCCAAAAGGAGGAGAGGAATTAGATAAATGGAAAAAAACAAAACAATTGGTAGTTGGGAAAAATTCCAGGGTGGTGCATCTTTTAGGAAGCCAGTGTAGCTCATAGTTTAAATAAATACCTCAAGGTGATATTGTCTCATATATCTGCTAGAATATAACCTTCAATCTGTAATGGGAAAATGAGCGATCAAGTTGGAGCCAACTTAACCCTACATGGCCGTTGAGTAACAATGTTATAGAAAAGCATAGAGGTAGGTGTGCTTTCCGTTAAAAATAAAAAAATATATATCATACATAGATTTTCCCTGAGGCGGGGTAAGTGCTCCATAATAAAATACAGAGAAAAAAAAAAAAGATCTAAAAAAAAAAGTTTCTTTAATAACGACATTACACTATATTGACACATGGACTTGTCCACGGATATCAATTTGCATATGATTGCTTAACGAAGCATTGTATGAGTATATCTAAGGTAAAGTTAGGCTGAAACATAAGTAAAATAGGCTGTGAGATTGCCAACTTCCATAAAAACAACAACAAAAAACCAAACACATATACAATATAGCATTTATTGGTGCACTTAAACAAAACTTGTTAAATTGTAGTGGAATAAACATACACGAAAGGGCCAAAAAGCAACCTTTGGTTTCTAAAGTACTGCATTAAAAAAAAAAATTCCTTTTTCTTTAATGGATTAATAAATTAAATTCCAAGCTAAAATTTAGGAAACTATTTACATAAGCAGTAATTTTGTTGGTTATAAACAGCAATCAGGGAAGAAAATGGAAACTGTCTTCTTGGAGCTGTAGAAAACAAAATGTTAATTGCTAAAGTGGGTATTGAGGAGAACTGCCAGAAAAGGCTCAGGTTATTCACTTATTTTGATCTAAAATTGTTGTTTGCATGCCATGATCTATAGAATTCACAGTTTAGTTAATAAAAACCTATATGTTATCTACATATGATTAATAGATTTTCTACAAAAAAACCCAAAAACCTTAAAAGTGAATATTTTCTTTAAAATAAATGTTTGCAGTCAGAAAACAATTCTTTCATTTAATTGAATTCATTTATTTTCTTTAATAAGTGTAGCAACATTTAATGAAACAAGTAAAGATAAAGTAACAAAATGAAAGGTATAATATCATATGCAGAATTTGTAGTGTCTTAACAAAAAAATAACATCCATTTTCCAAAATATATAAATTTGATACATACACAATGTCCCCTACCATACATTATAGATTCATACCATTTCCATGATTATAACTGGTCACTGTGGATTTCATTTTTTTATTATTTTACTATCATTATTATCATCATCATCATCTTTATTCAGGACAGGAGAAAGAAAGTAACAGGAAAGCATTTACCCTACACATAAGTATGTAGATCTGTAGCATCATTGCTGAATTATGCTATAATGAACATTCAAGACTAATAACATTATATAAAGTGTTACAATATTAAACCAAGATAGGAGACCAGGTAGGTAACAAGCCTAAAATTGCTTCAAAGTGGGGGACTAAATGCCATAATTAAATTTAGTGGGTTTAACAGTCTTGATATATATATATATATATATTTTTTAATAATTTTCATTCCCCAGGATGTGGTTTTTAACACCAATAATGTATGTGTCATTTGTATAGTAAAATTGGATTTTAAGAGACACAATTTAATAAAGAATGTATTTGTGATGTTATTGTGCAAAACACTTTCTGATCAATTGAAATAAGGCAATGCATCTGGTATAGTATAATAATTAATCTGAGCAGGTGCACATAAAGTTACAACATAACTTTTAGTTTTTAAAATGAATAAAAAGGGAACCATTTTAACCAAAACAACCAGGGTATTTACAAATGAAATGACACCCTAAGAATGTTTTCAAACTGTTTCTTTTTGATGTTGTTGCATCATTTTGGAATACTTTTAGGATTCCTTTTGCGTTCATGATGTAAATATTTAAGGAGACAAATGAGCATTACAACATTGTATATATGTTTATGATGTGATGATTTTCGATTATATATAATTACCATAAAACTGTGCTATTTGACTTTATAGTAACTTGTTATATGTAACTTGTTAACAGCATAAAATTATTTACTTGAGATAGCAATATAAAGAAGGCCAACTTATTATATAATTCAATTCACTAGTGTCTTTATAGCTGATTAGTTAGAATTGTATTAAATTGAAAACACAATTTACACATAAAGCATGCTTTGACTATATCAGAGTTGAAGATTTTTCTTTAAGGAGATTTACAATTTTGTTTTCAGTTCAGTGAAAAAAAAAAAAAACTTGATCTTCATATAGATAAATTAGTATCCAAACATTTTTTTCAATAGACTTTATAGAAGAGATTTATCAAGGGGTTATGAAAAATGTCTTTTATTTTTGCTTAACATTTGCAGTTCATGGTTTAGTGAATCATGTGTTAAATGTCTACTTTTGAAATGGTTTTCTATACTGTTCAGTTTATCTGGGATATTACTTATGTTATTTATAAAATATTTTACCATGAAGTATACATTGAGATTTCTTTCGTTTTCAAGTATGTCCTGGGTATATACTTGAAATTAAATAAGTCTCTGTCTATTTCATTTGGTAAGAAAATAACTAGTGACATTTGTTCTTATGATTTGTGTGTGATATTTGTTGATCATTTTCTTTTTTTTTTTTATTGAACAATAACAGTATCTTTTTGACTAGTACTACAACAAATAGGATTAGAAGCCAAACTGCATTGCCAGCTGATAACAAAAAGTGAGATACTATCTCTAAAACACTGCAGAAAATACTTAAAATGACTGTCATTTCAAAAATGATCTTATTGAATTCTCTCAGGCAATCTGCAATTAATAATATCATATTGCTTAGATTTTGAAAAAACTCTGTGAATACAGAAACCACAGAGGTCATTTGCTTGAAATACTCTGGTTTTTTGTATATTGACGTTCTTCTCCAAAAACGTTTCACAGGCACTGTTACATGAGCACGTGAGTTGATGGCATAAAAAGTATTTTTCTTATAATTTTTTTCCATGTCAACGAACTGGAGTCGCAATAACGAGCCACGCAAGAATCTTACGTTCTAGAAACATGAAACAATCATTGGTCAGAACCAGTCTGTAAACATCTTGAAAGCAGTTATTACCAAACTTCTAAGTAAAGAAACAATGCAGGATGTATTAATAAGCATGTGACAGGTGTGACCAGGTAAACATTACTGCACGGCGACATTTCCATTCCTTTCACTTCCATATGATCTCTGTAATGCTAGTAAATTGGAAAATATCAGGTGAGATGTGTTTTTTTAATTCAGCTATTTTGATCAAAAGTTTAAACTGGCTTTAAAATTGTAACAATTTACATTTTAATGAATAATCTTTCAAGAAGGTAGTCTTTACCTTTCTATAAAACACCCAGTCTTGTCATGATAGCAGAGATCCCCTAAATATAGTATACTTCAAATGCCCAGTCCTCACAATGAGTGTGCCCCACTCCCCCTTTAATAGTGACAATGTTGGAGAGATAAATTACAATCATTTTTTTAAATTTCGCAGGTACGGTTAGCAAAGCAATTCCTCTATCCGTATAGATTATGGGCATGGAAAAAGCAGGGTATCAGGTCCTTGTCCACTCACTCACCTACATTGCGCTCCCACACCGCGTCTCTCACTCACTCCACTAGGACGCCGTGTCGGAGTACTCATATATACTTTAGATACACACAATCATTGTAACATACTGGCAGACATCCATAGATACACATTAGAAGATATACATATCTAAACACTAACACTACAATACCTAAGCATACACTAACAGACATATAAACATTCACTAACAAATTCACAACCTGGCATACATACATATACAGTATTCACACTAGCACTTGTCCATAGACATTTATTAAAAGATATTAACCACATAAAAAATTAGGTTAAATGATGGGTACGAGTAAACTAAAGTGTTAGGCATACAGGTTTATATTCTTGAAGCTATGGTGTTCCTTTAAAGTCAATGCTCTGTACATTGAAAAGGGATAGGGGTCCCAAAACATTTGTAATTTTGTGCTCTTCTTTAAATGCTTGAAGGTTCCACAAGAGGCTCATGCAGGGACACTATAGTCACCAAAACAACTTTAACTTCATGAAGCAGTTTTGGTGTATAAATCATTTCCCTGCATTCTCACTGCTCAGTCTTACGCAATATCACCCAAACACGAGACGAGCCTTAGTGAAGGGTGAAGAAGAACAACTGTTTATTCCTAGCCAAATAGCTCACATTTATAGAGAATATGGTACAGTACACACTCCCCAAAACACGCCCATAAACACACCCACAAAGAGTCTACAAAATGCATTGTCATCGTAACTCAGCAAAAACAGTAACAATTATGAAAAACCATAAAACACATATTTCCCACATAGAAACCCCACAGTCTACATCTCCGGATAACCTGGATCTGAGCGCCCAACATTTCCGAAAAGTGCTCAGATCCCACGAACAGAGCCAAAATGCCACCGTGTGGAAGTTCTGACTGGCCGCACACATGGTCCTATGCCCAAAACAATTCCAGGGTGTTTTGTGCTTTTGGCCGGTCAACTTCGGGAGTTCCATGTGAAAGATATGGAACGTACACTCTGGTTTCTTGGTAGCGTTTGTTCGTATTAACCATTCAAACAAACCTATCGAATGGTGCTCTCCTGACGTATGTGGGGAAGGAGCAGGCGTTCGTCCAAGTTCAGCAGTGTTCGGGAGTTTCAGTGTCCGATTTTAGTCCCCCGCGATCGACACCCAAACACTGCTGCCTGCATACGAACGGCCTCCACGCAGCCGCACAATTAGGACCCACGGGTCAATAAGCTCAGAGGTGGTCCGCAGTTTGTGGGTTGGTTTGGTTCCCGAACAGTCCAAGGGAATCCCACAAACCCAGTCTTTCAATTGCCTTTTAGCATGGCACATAGTCCTGAGGCAGGAGGCTAGCAAGCAGGCTCCCTCCAGGAGCTAGAGGCGAAGGCAAGTTAGCCACAAGTATCTCCTGCTCTGTTAATAGCTTGTAATTAAATAACCGTATGTAATTAAAGTTCAATTTACAGAGTAGGAGATAAACTTTTAAAGTAAGTTACATCTGATGATTTTGAAACCATTTTGTTTTCATGCAGGCTGTGTCAGCAGCACCCAGGGGTGGCTGGGGCTCTATAACAGAAGCAAAAGTGATTTAACTCCTAAATGGCAGTTAATTGAGCAGTGAAACACTTCAGAGACATGATGTATACACAAACTCTTTTGGTGACTATAGTGTCACAAACTGACTGTTCTGTTACCCTGAGGAAAGTCCCGAGTGGGGACTGAAACGTTGGTTTCTCATTTTAACTTGAATTGATTAAAGCATTGGAGTTTTTTGAAGACCGGTGAGCAGCTATTTTTTGGCAGATATATATATATATATATATATATATATATATATATATCTAACAAAATGGCAGCACGTTAAGCCACAATATACGCCAAATAAGTTACCCTGGAGCGTCTGTGTCTGGCCAGAGTTAACAGGAGATTTTATCATACAGGTTAACTTATAGAATGAAATAATAAGGAGAAGGGAAGTGAGAGAAATAAACGTTAAGACAATATGCCCTATAAAGATTATAAACAGGTGTGCAAATAATAAGAAAGCTAGAGATAACAGCACAGGAAGAATAATAAGATAACTATAAAAAAAAAAACAATAAAAGTTTCGGGGAAGGAAAATAACACCTTGTAAATAAAAGTAAGCAGCAATGACCAGATAGGGGTTAAGAAGGATTGTTATGGAGCAGGGTTGGTAGTAAACCAGGTTGGCAGGATAAAACAGTGTTGCAGGTAATCCAGGCTTGTATGGAGCTTGGGTGGTAGCAAACCAGGTTGGCAGAATAAAGCAGAGTTTCAGGCAATCCAGGTTAGTATGAAGCAGGATTGGTAGGGAATCAGGTTGGAAGCAATGAAGGCAAATCACAGGTTGCTTCTCAGGAGCCAGGATCTGAAGTCTTTCAGTAAGAACATCAACTTCAATGTAAAGGCCACTTGGTTTGTCGGGTATGGCCTTTTATAGCGGAACTTGATTAATGCTATACAGGTGTGAGACTGAGGTGGCTAGGGAGGCCACTAGTGGTGGAGAGATGGAACTTGATTTAAAGTAACAGAAATAAACAAAGAACATAGTTGTCAGGAAGGGATCGTGTCAGTCTGCTTTCTCAAATGCAAGGCCTTTGTGGGGTTATTTGAACAGTTAAAGAGCTATAACTGCTATAATGCCCAAAAATGAGAAAAAGGCCAATAAAATTCATCTATGAAAATTCTAACCATAATAACTAAAATCGCTTGGTCTCTTATATGGAAGTTAGCTTAAAACTATCGTTGTACTCAGCAGATGTAGCTGAAGACAATATGGGTTTTTGTACCAGCTTTACGAAATACACATTGAAAAAAAACCTTGTTATATGTGTGTATGTCAAAAAACTGAAAAAAAAACCACAATTTTACACCAATTAAAGTGTCAAAATAACTTTAGGTAAATGATGTCTACCATATATAAATATATATTTTTGTGTGGCGATTTTGTTTTCTGTGATATAGTTTTCTGATTTTAAATTTACAAGACAAACATACCAATTTCTAAAATTGTTTCACATTAAAATGTTATTTTACTCCTTGTAGTTTGTGACCTGTAACTTTCAGAGTGTACTGAAAAAAAAAAAAAAAACCTTTCAAATAGAACAAATTATGTACTCTGCAAAACAAGACACATACATGAATTTATTCTGAATTACTTTTGCTAAACTGAACATATTATGTACACATAATTATTGGCAAAACTGGGGGAATATGTTTCTTTTTTGTATGCATTTTATAATAAATGAAAACTTGTATATGTCACATCAACCATCCCCCCCCCCCCACACACACACACACACTATAGGCCTGTACCCCCAACCAGGGCCGGACTGGGGATACAAAGCAGCCCTGGAAAAAAAATCTATGCCAGCCCCATAAGTCATTGTGCTATGTAGGGTGTTTTTATATTTATATATCTATATATATATATAAATATATATAGGCAATTGAAATAGTTGGCTGCACTCTCGGATTTCCTGAAAATGTAACTTTTATTGAAATATTTAAGAGAAGATCAATGTTTCAGTCACTCTTGTGGACTTTCGTCATGATCCTGATGCAAGTCCACAAGAGGGACTGAAACGTTGATCTTCTCTTAAATATTTCAATAAAAGTAAAATTTTAAGGAAATCCGAGAGTGCAGCCAACTATTTCAATTGCCTATATATATATACTGGATACTGGAGCCCTGGTGATGCAACAGTGTGTGTATATGTATATATATATATATATATATATATATATTTTTTTTTTTTTTATTGATACATTTCTTCTTCTAATTCAAAATATTAGTTCTTTTAGGGTAATTAAATTATACAGTAAAGCATACTCACACACACACAGACAATCTTACTGATGCACACAAATAGGCTCATTGATAGACAATGACACACACAGACAAGGTTACTGGCACACACACAACTTTAGTACAGACAAACTCTGATACACACACAAGCTTACTATAGACAAGCTCACTGTCACACACACACGCTCACTA